ATTAGCACAATTATATGGATTGATTATATGGATTTTTTTCATCAAGATATCTTTATTCAACACTTGTTTGAAGAAAAGTTACCATCACAAACATTTGTTCCATTATATTCAGAGCATGTTTTTTTCTCTTCATAACAATTTTATCTCAAACACATAACTAACACACAGCACGCATTGTACTGCTATATTTCCATATCGGGCAGTGTCTTGTGATTGCCGTGCTGCTGGCCTTATTAAACAGTTTGGAATAATTATGACTGATGAATACCATACAGGTTGCATAACAGTATTTAGCTTGCCCAAGGCACTGTCTGTACTCATGTTAAAGGGGGAAAAAAGGGGCTCACATGATGCAGATGATGTACATTGAAAAAAACAAGCATGCAAACTTCACCAATCGGCAACAAAAACTCACATTTATCAATAATCTTGTAATTTCCCACGAGCTGTCGGTTTTATGGTTAATTTCGATTTCACCGTATTAGATGGATTTTCAGAGGGCTCATGCTGGCCAATAATACGCAAACATGTTTGTCACACGGGCTTATTTTTAAACCAATGCAGCAGTGGAGAGGAAAACTGATAACATCGCAATGCATCCGTTAAGCCCTGACCATGAACAGTCTTTCTCGATCTCTCATGCCTGAGTAAATTTGACCAGATGGAAGAACAGATTGCAAAAAATGTTTAACAAAGCTGTTGCTGCAACCGGTACAATTACTCTCCACACGTGAATGCAAACAACGGCGACAGGTGAGATTTAACACAAAAAAATAAAACTGGGTTTTAGTACTTATGTAAAACCTGGTTTTCATAGGTGGTCACTGACAAGCTCTGGCTCACATACAAATGAAATTCATCTCTGTGCCGGGCACTCAAACTTATAATTTGATAATTATTTAATTGTTTCGTATGGATGGGTGAACTCTGACCCTCCCCCCACAGGGGAGGCCCTCGCACCACATGACCTCTCTGCCGCCATTTTAGCAGTGACAAGACTATTGAAGGCACATGGTACTGAACAGGGTTAATGCAACGCAAATAACTGACCCAATCACGAACAAAACATTTGAGTGGATGGTGGGAGGGATGCCGAGCGTGTCGGTGACTACCTAAGCCTCCGATGTACACTCACGAACCCATGAGGGCATCCTCTGATGTCACAATGGCTTCCTCGTCTTTTCTTGACCACGAAGGTAAAGAGCCAAGGCCCTCACTGGTTCTAATTTATAAAGCCTGAACTCTTCAGGGGAACGAAAGGTACATGGGCAGAAGGACAGGAGCACAATTTCCTGGTTCATGTGCAAATCTGAAAGCACCTGAGCCACAAAAACAAGGTGAGGCCATAGGCCACCACCAAAACCTGCAGCTAACTCAACTTCCTTGCTCAGTTGATGGCCAAGAGAAAACCCATCTTTAGCGTCAGTAGATGTTCTGAGCACATGGCTCGTAGCTGGAACGGTGGCTTATAAAGAACATTCGGTACATGTGCAGATTTTAGGGAGCATCGCCCAAGTACAATGGGGGCGACTCCTGCTTCATCTCCCTTAAGAACCTCAAGACCAATTTGGTTAAGCCTACTGTACACGCACCACCCCAGGAGGTCCGAGAAACATCACCTCTGGAACCAATTGGGCGTGATCAGCACCCTGGATGCCCCCTTCCTTGCCGATCTATTCCATCCTTTTTGGAATCACAGGGAACAGGGGCAAGAAGTAGCCAAGGCTACCAGTCCACTAAAACTAGAGCGTCCGTCACCATTGCCTCTTGTTGCCTGAACCTGGATGCGAACCGCTCCAATTTGGTGTTTTTCCTGGACGCGAACCATTTTGCTCAAACACCTTAAATTGCAGGGCCCACTTGTCGAGATAAATTCTCTCTTGGCTCAGGCAATCTACCAAATGGTTTTTCCCTGGCGAGGTGAGGCGCCAACAGCCTCACCAGATTGTGTTTTGCCCAGGTCGAGGGCGTGCAATTCCTGCATGAGCCTGTCAAATGTGGGACAGCCTTGCTTGTCCACCATGGCTATTGCTGTATGTATGTAGAACGCATTTCGCACCGTACATAGCCAACCGTGCTAATCGGTGGTGTGACGTTGTTGCATGACACCAGGACATTTCGGCCTGCCACCACGCCCCTGACAGGGGCTAACACCAACCGAATCGCTCTCACCTCAAGGAGGTTTATGCTTTCCTCCATCTGCCACAGACCATTGTCCCTCAAGGACTCTCCTCTCGTTGCATGCGCTTCAGCTACTCAGGCTAGCATCTGTCTGCAGGACCACCTATTCTCTAAATAACCCAAGAGACATGGTCTCCTAGCAGGTGAGAGCTCAGCAACCACTTGCTGGTAGGGAAAGTGGGACGAATTGTCGAAACCTGCACTCAAGAGGGTCATAATTGTTCAGCAGCACCATTGCAAGGCTCACATGTGCAACCTGCCCAACTGGACCATCTCTACTGTGGCCGCCATGTGGCCCAGTGACACCAGGAATCGTTTTGTTTTTTCTCCATTGGCTGACACAAGTTCTGCAACTTTGCTCCTGAGCCACATCACCTTTACCTGTGGAAAAAACACCTGGGTCGAGGTCGTGTTCAGCCACGCGCATTGATGTTTGATCTGCCATGCCAGCTGGAAGCTGCATTCTTGAACCTTGAGCCCAAACCTGTGCTCTTTTAGGGATTTAACCACCTCCACAACGGACCTCTTAATAAGTCGCCCAGGTACAAACACACATGCTGCCCTCTGCCCTGTAAATCTGGGACCATAACTGCCAGAATCTTAGTAAAGATCCTCAGGGAGGCGGGCAGCTGAATGCAAGTACCGGGAACTCCCAGTGTCCCCTTGAATGGTGAACTGCAGTTATTTGTGTTAGTCACATATTATTGGAATGTGTAGGTATGCATCTTTCCCTTCTACTAATACCAGCAGGTCTATGACCAAAATTAACATCAGGATGGAGGTCAATGAATCCATCATGAACCGGTGTTACTGCAGGTATCTGTTTAGCCTCCTGAGGTCCAGAACAGCTTCGTCACAATAAGGATTCTCGAGTAAAACCCCAATCCTAATTGTTCCCTCAGGAGCCTTCTCATGGTCCCTAGGTCCAGAAGCCTTGACATCTGTTTCTAAGACTTCCTTCATTAACGGGTCCAGCAGAGGCCACGATTCTATCCAGAAATGAGGGCCCAACGAATTCCAGGGCGTAAAACTTCATCTATAGTCAGAATGACTCACTCGTCACATGTCGTTTTCCCTCCATATCTCTAAAAACAGTGTCAGGTGGCACCCCAGCCACGGCCGTGGTGGGGCCAACAGCAGTCCACCTCCTGCCCCATCTACTGCACAGCTTGAAGGGGGCTTGGCTAGTCGTATCGGACAATGTCAAGCAAATGTTGGTCCAGGGGCTTTCCTGCCTCGTTTGACACCAGTGGCTTTTTAAATACTGCTGGCTTCTCGCCCTTATTGGCCTCTCCACCTTGAGGGTCTGGGACACCGTGCTGAGACCCCACTAGGTGCCTTGGTAGCATCTCGCAAAACGGTTCATCCTCGACAGAGCTGGAGTTTCTGAGCATTCTCCTTCCTCCTTGGTCTCTTAGACGAAGAGAGCTCATTGTTACCAGACGCCTCATCTCGGGCGGCTCTTCCTCTTTGGGGGAGGCTTGCAGGACCCGGGCATGTCCTGGGCCACTAGCTGCCCCCAACCTGCTTGGACACTGTCCAGAAGGAGGTTGAGGATCGTCTTCCCTAAGTTAGACATAATTTTCCCAAGTTCTTGTGAGAGGGGCCTCTGCTGGGCCTTTCGAAGGTGTCATTTTGCCCAGGCCCATATGTTTCTGAGGCCTCTTTCATGAGTTCCTCGTCTATAAAGTACCACTCGCCCTGGGAATGAATACTTGTCCAAGCTGTAGTGCTCCGGGGAGGGCTAGCACACTTGGTGCATTCATGTCAGGGCCGCATTCCTGGCTCGAGCTTTCTTAAAGGCCACGGTCCACTTTTGCTTCTTCTTCTGCAACATCGGCAGGGTACCCCATGTCGTTTTGAGCACGTGTGATTGTATATCACCTCATTGAGGCAGGCAGGTATAACCCAAGGGTTCCTGGCTGAATTTATTTTTCCCACACTCGTGCAGAGGAGCATGGCAAGCTGGGACTTTTGGGTACTGGCGGGCGGCTGCTGGCCACGTGGATAACCTGCACTCCACTTCGGCGCATCAGGTCTCAGACCCTACATTTCCCAGGCTCCTGTCACGCTGGGGTGTCCTGCGGAGGATAAGGGCCCCGTGCTGGCCCCAGGCCGCTTTAAAGGTGTGACCCCTGTCTTAGGAACTGCTTGCATTGGGCCTGGCTCCTTAGGAGCACAATGGCCTTCGCTCACGCCATCACCGCCATCTGTTATCGAGGATTTTTGTCGTCAAATTTTGAGCTTCCATGTGTATGTGACCCAAGCAGTGAAAACACAAGGAGTGCGGACGGTTCAGTTTCATATATACGTCTGTCTCTGCATCTCCGTGTGAGCAACAGAGACACACAGAGATATAAAGACACACAGATACAGATATACAGACAAACACTGAGACACACAAAGGTGTAGATGCTAGAGTACAGAAGTCTCTCAACCCATGTACTGCAGATGTTGGTGGTTAGCGACGTGTCATGTCCAAGTTCACTTACCAAAAAGGGTTTCCCTATCTCTCTTTTTAATCTTTCTCTGTCTTCACGGCTCTATGTCTGTGTCCGTATGTTTTCTTGTCTTTGTGTCTCTGTGTATCGGTCTATATCTCCATGTCTTTGTGTGCATCCATGTTTCTATGTCTGCCTGTGTCTCCATGTGTCTACCTGGCCTTTGTGTGTCTCTGCATCTCCTTGTCTGTGTCACTCTTCGCATCTCTCGTCTTTGTTTTTGGTTGCACCTTCCATAAAACCCAAGGGCTGTGCGACTTTAATTTAAAGGACAATGTTTTTAGCCCAGATGAATGGAGCCGAGGCTGCAGCACACACCTGCAGGGTCTGGCCGATCCGCTTGACCGTGCCAGCCTTGACGGGGGTGATGAGGTTGGCCAGCGAGGCGACGCGGGAGAGGGGCCTCACCTTCTTCGTGCTGGGCTCCTGTAACGGCACACGATAAAACATATTAACGTATAATTAATATAATAACTCATTCAAAATGCTGATCTGGCACGCGGGGGACGTGCTGTGGCAGGTACCATGAATCTCAGGCATGTGTGGGTGCAGAACTATTGTGGAGACTCAAGGGGTGGATTGATTCAAATGTGCAGGCTATCCGCATAAGATCAAACACACCTGGTGTATGTATTCTACAATGTAACTGCAGCCAGAGTGTGATTAACACCTTGACTTAAAATTCAAGCATCACTGAAAATTGGCGACACCGTCTATAGTAGACGTAACATGGTGCCTGATTGAGCACACAAACAACAACCAACATCAGACCATTCACAAGCAATGTGCCCGTTCACTTACCAGGTTCAACTATGCGGTATTAATTTAAGCGGTTCCCAATGGGAACCAGTGCAGGGGCCACAAAGAAACACATAGTTGATGCGCCGCTGCTTGAGTCACATTAACACAAGCCACAAGCAAGCCGCATGCAAACAGGCCTGAGCCACACAGAGCCATGAGCCTTGGAAAAATGTAAAAGCAGAAGTCTAATTAAGCTTCAATTGGAACTATCAACGGATTAGCCAGGGCACTTATTGTAATTTAAATATGCAGGTAAACACATGGCCCCTATTAGTTGTTGCCTGACGATCAGTGAAATGGAAAGAACAAATGTCCCATTTTGCATGTGTTTTGGCTCAACATGTAGCAACCAAATGTTATCTTTAAAAAAATAAAGATGGTTACATTTGTAATCTATGCCCGCTTGCAAGTGAACACGCATACACAGGCGAGGATAGTTTATATTTTAAAAAGTGCATTTAGCTACAACGGATCGTGGACACTGATGTCAGAAAAGGCTGATTTATCAAAGTCACATGAACCATGCCTCAAGATGATGAAGATTATTTTAAACAGAGGAGACCACATGGGAATAAAAAACAGATGAGCCCATGAACAAAACATTTCCACAGATATAGCTGGGTTTAAAAATTACAATACAATGTGTAATACGTGCAAATAAATACATGTTAAACTGCCACAAAGAAACATGCTTCACGGACAGCACTTATCTAGTCTGCCGAATTACATTTGTCTGGTCTATATCGCCATGTACATATTAAGTTAAAAACGTGTCGCAAGCCGAGGGTGCCGGGTGTGTAGCGCCTACCTCGTCCCCACTTTCTGTTGCCTCCACCTCCCAGTTCTTGAGCGTTGTCTGCTTAACAAACATCTGGCCCCGACTGCGCAGGTGGCACCAAGCTCCACTCGGATTACGAATCGTCCCGTTTTTTTCAGCTGACCGGCATGTTCGTCTCGCTTTGGCCACAGTGGGCTTTTTTATATCGAGCCGTTGGCTATCCCTTCCAACCTTCCTCTATTAACTTGATAATCTCCACCGACAGTCGTTAAATGCCAACCAGCAGCGCTTCCTGTGCTTGAAAATACGGTCGTCACCTTTCTAGCTGTCCCTGACCGTTGTTCTTAATAATGGTTTTCAAATGTTTTTTTTATCATCAGCCTTTTGCCGTGCTCCTGGTACGGGAAGTTATTTCTTGCTACACGAAGCAGAGTTTTATCTTGAAGCAGAGTTTTATCTTGAAGCGATGTCAGTTTTGGCTTGCTCCGTTTAAATAATCCTCCCACAACTCCCTCTAGCTGATGATTAATTTAATTTGTATTACAGCTCCACCTATGAAGGGACAGCCCACTCGTATTGCTGCAATGTCCTCTCTCTTCTGCCTCTGGGCTGCGGAGGCAGCTTTAACCTTTCAGACGCACGCCTTTGCTCTTTTGTGCTTTCCCCGAATGCGCGGTAACGCTGGAAATGTGGACCGGTGAAAAGGGTACCAACGCAAGCGTCTCTCCCGCCAGCGCGTTAAGAGCGCAATGACGACTGAGCATGTCAGTGGCTATGAATCGTAACAGAGGCGGTGGGGGGGGGGCGTGGGGTGCCTTTGACGTCAGCTGGCACAACCAGACCTCAGACATCGCACAATCCCACGCACTCCCCCACCCTCCTCCTAAAACATATACCCACCCACTCATTCAGACATACAGACACACAGCACTCCCCAGTCTGCTCTCATCTCTACACAGCCTGTGCATGCACAAGGGGGGGTAACTCGAGCGCTCTCTGCCTCTGCTGGTCTCCCTGGAGCCTCCGACAGCAGCAGGTGGCAAACCTGTTAGCGGTCAGCTTTAGGGTTGCTATCACTCGGCAAAATCCCTCCCTAACCCAGCGGGGTCGGCAGCCACAGCCACTTGGCTCCACACACGTTACCCAAGGGCTGTAGTCGTTAATTATCGGGCAGCGGCCATCCGAACTACTACCGCTACCCGCCCTTCCCCCACAGCTGGGGAGTGGAGGGGGTCGATCGGAATCACGCGTGCCGATGCGTGACTCTCTCCAAACAAAGCAGGGGGCCTGGCAGTGCTGTGGCCCCGAGCCTCATCACTTCTCATTGCCGGAATTAGCACGGCCAGAGTTTTTTTTTCAATTAAGGTCTCTGCATAGCCGAGTGCTTCATGAGACATTGAATAAGTGTGACATGGGCAGGGAACCGAGGCAAGCGTGGAAGCCTCGGGACAGGTCTGATCAAAGTCAATTTGGAATTCAGCTCAGAGAAAGCTATGTTAGCAAATTGTTTTCATTGGTATGTTAACCATAAACTTTTTTTTTTAAACTCATGTATAAGTTACATACTAATTTGTGTCTATATTAGTGTTCTTCACCAAGTTTCAGAGGGGGGGCCACTGTCACCGATAAGACATCAGTGTGAGGGCCACCGCACATTCGAAACCATTGGGGTTAGACAGCACAGTGATGATGGGGTGTTTTCAAATTTGTGTATTGTCAGGGGCCACACGTCAGGAGCCGCACTAAAGGCCACCAGGGGCCACCAGTGGCTCGCAGGCCTTGCAATGAAGAACACTGGTCTATATATGCGGCTCATCTGCACGCATGTACATATGTAATAATGTATCTTTCTCCAAAGAACTCCTCCTAGACCACTACCAATTTAAACGAAATCTCATATATAGTTTATACAAATTAGATCAAATTGATGGAAAAATTTCGACCTGTGATCCCGTTATTTGGCTGATCGGCCTTGGCACTGTCAGGTCTACCATTTAGAATACCCAAGCATGTGAAGAAAGACCCTTTTCAAAATTATATAACGGACAGGTATATATCACCGGGAATGATGTGTGCATCATTGGGGAAGATGTGTGCAGGGGCGAGGGGAACCAACCAATCTCAACGGCTTTCTACCATATTGTGTAAACTAGTGAGAGACAGGTGAGCTGATGACTGATAAGTATCAGGTGAGTGGTAAATGTGTTTTTTACAAGGGTCAGGTATCATGTTACCTGTCCATCGCATGGGCTGCCCTCTTAGTTTTACTATATAAAGCCTTCTGCACCACCCAAATATGGCTTCTGCTGACCATGGCACTTGTTACACTGTGCGGCTGCAATTCATCTTATAATCACGCAAGAACTGAGTTTATCGATTTACCTTCCAGCTGATTGCAGGCTCTATTTTGGGGGCGACTCAGGCACTACTCTGGTCCTTCAGATGTCCACAAATGTCCCCTCGACAAGGCCATCCGCTCTACTTCACGTTACGCAAAATCCTTGTTTCTTACCCAACCCATATGTACCTACAAAGCTGAGTGCTTTTTACGATGGCTCATCATCATAAACCTATTGTACTTGTTTTTTTAACATTTCGCCATCTGAACTCTTTACGAACGAACCATAAAAGCTGCTCTTCAGCAAGTTCCCATGGAGAGAATGAACATAGACATATTACAATGCCATACTTTCCAGCTTCCAGATCAAACTGATTTCTAAATTCCAAGCGCACGTTTCACGAGATTTGGGAAAGTTTGAACATGTATTTCTAGAGAAGAGAGGTACAGTGAGGGAAAAAAAGTATTTGATCCCCTGCTGATTTTGTAAGTTTGCCCACTGACAAAGGAATGATCAGTCTATAATTTTAATGGTAGGTTTATTTGAACAGTGAGAGACAGAATAACAACAAAAATAATCCAGAAAAACGCATGCCAAAAATGTTTTAATTTGATTTGCCTTTTAATGAGGGAAATAAGTATTTGACCCCTCTGCAAAACATTACTTAGTACTTGATGGCAAAACCCTTGTTGGCAATCACAGAGGTCAGACATTTCTTGTAGTTGGCCACCAGGTTTGCACACATCTCAGGAGGGATTTTGTCCCACTCCTCTTTGCAGATCTTCTCCAAGTCATTAAGGTTTCGAGGCTGACGTTTGGCAACTCGAACCTCCAGCTCCCTCCACAGATTTTCTATGGGATTAAGGTCTGGAGACTGGCTAGGCCACTCCAGGACCTTAATATGCTTCTTCTTGAGCCACTCCTTTGTTGCCTTGGCCGTGTGTTTTGGGTCATTGTCATGCTGGAATACCCATCCACGACCCATTTTCAATGCCCTGGCTGAGGGAAGGAGGTTCTCACCCAAGATTTGACAGTACATGGCCCCGTCCATCGTCCCTTTGATGCGGTGAAGTTGTCCTGTCCCTTTAGCAGAAAAACACCCCCAAAGCATGTTTCCATCTCCATGTTTGACAGTGGGGATGGTGTTCTTGGTGTCATAGGCAGCATTCCTCCTCCTCCGAACACGGCGAGTTGAGTTGATGCCAAAGAGCTCCATTTTGGTCTCATCTGACCACAACACTTTCACCCAGTTGTCTTCTGAATCATTCAGATGTTCATTGGCAAACTTCAGACGGGCAAGTATATGTGCTTTCTTGAGCAGGGGGGCCTTGCGGGCGCTGCAGGATTTCAGTCCTTCACGGTGTAGTGTTACCAATTGTTTTCTTGGTGATTATGGTCCCAGCTGCCTTGAGATCATTGATACGATCCTCCCGTGTAGTTATGGGCTGATTCCTCACCGTTCTCATGATCATTGCAACTCCACGAGGTGAGATCTTGCATGGAGCCCCAGGCCGAGGGAGATTGACAGTTCTTTTGTGTTTCTTCCATTTGCGAATAATCGCACCAACTGTTGTCACCTTCTCACCAAGCTGCTTGGCAATGGTCTTGTAGCCCATTCCAGCCTTGTGTATCTATAATCGTGTCCCTGACATCCTTGGAGAGCTCTTTGGTCTTGGCCATGGTGGAGAGGTTGGAATCTGATTGATTCTGTGGACAGGTGTCGTTTATACAGGTAACAAGCTGAGATTAGGAGCACTCCCTTTAAGAGTGTGCTCCTAATCTCAGCTCGTTACCTGTATAAAAGACACCTGGGAGCCAGAAATCTTTCTGATTGAGAGGGGGTCAAATACTTATTTCCCTCATTAAAATGCAAATCAATTTATAACATTTTTGACATGCGTTTTTCTGGATATTTTTGTTGTTATTCTGTCTCTCACTGTTCAAATGAACCTACCATTAAAATTATAGACTGATCATTTCTTTGTCAGTGGGCAAACGTACAAAATCAGCAGGGGATCAAATACTTTTTTCCCTCACTGTATGTCTTTGTCTGTTCTCTGCCATACGTCATTTTAATTTAATTAGTTGTGGCCTTGGAAGGAAAGTTTTATATTACGCAGACATTGTGGTGTGAAAGGTGCTCGTGTATTTCATTTCCTTGCCGCTCCATGCTGTGCAGTTTATTGTGAGAATACTTATCGAATAATCTGAAACTCATTTTGTCCCTGATGAAATATGTATTAGTAGCATGAGGTGAGTTTAGAAGATTGTTTTCTCCCTGCTATCTTGAAAGATATTTATTTAAAGCAGACCATACATAAACATGTTGGAGCCAAAATAGCAATGACGTCAGATATAAATAACAAAAAGATGCTGGGATATAGACCATGCCTTACCACATGGTTATTGGTCAAAAAGGGCCATGTTCACTTGCCAATCAGTCACAGAGGAAATTGTTTATTTTTAACCAACTATATTAATCAGAGCAAAAAGTACAAAGATATTGTGTCTCATCATCAACAATCTAAGTATCTTCTGGAAAACGGCACTGTTTAAGTTAATTTGATTTGTTACGCAAGTGATCCCGTTTTCGTCAGCTGCCAGGCTATTTTACAAAGGAGATCCGTTTGTGTGCGAGTACAGCAACAACAAAACAAACGCATCAATACTTTCAGAGAACGAGTACAGGAAGCTGAAGGAATAGTGTAACAACGAAAAAAAGAGGTAATTAATGGTCGTATGATCAAACGCACACAATTAAAAAAAAATATATAAAACAGTGGAAATATAATGAGAGCAAGAGGCACCGGGAAAAGTTCTGTTACAGGTGCAAGTAAGCTGTATATACTTTAGTCTCACAGTGATACAAACACGCGCTAATCGAAAAAGACAGCGCAAATATGTGGGAGCAAGAGGGGACAGAACATAGGTACAGCTACACGTACGCTTTGTGGTTTAATAGGGAAATTATGGGAAGTGAAGAGAGGGAACCAAGCTCTAGATGAGCGGTAAGGCTACAAATACGCAGAGCAACAACGTGGAAAGACGTTTTTTTTAACCAAAACAAAAGTTGTCACCAATGGATTTTTTGTAGGAACAAGGAGGAACTTCTGAGGCTGTGGGTGGGAGTTCGAGGAAAGAAGTGGTCTTTTGGGTCAATGACGGATTTGTTTAAGACGTTTAGGATGAAGACAACCCAGTGATGGTCACTCCAGATATCCACGGGGGACAGAATCGAGTTAATGTACAAGCTACAAGAATGAATGGAGGGCGTCATGGCCAAACGGATAGTAAAACAGTATGTTAAAATAAGGCGTTTTAAGGCATATTCAGAAGATAGGCAGTAGGTGGTGTCACAAAAATTAAATATGTGCAGGATGGTGGCTTTAACTACATTTAGGCAGAGTAGAGGTGGAATACAGCATGTGTTTCTGTATAGGAATCCAATTTTGGTTTGATCTTGTTGGCCATGTAGTCAATTTGGGTCTTCAAAGAGTCCAGGATAATGCCTAATTATTTAAAGTTGTCAATCTGCTGAATACGATGTGGGTCCAGAACACCAAAATGCATCGGTGGTGAGACAGGTTTGAGGCTGCCATAGTACTGTATAACATAACTGTTTTTTTTTTACTGGAAGAGGGATAACCTCTTGGCTAATACTGATAGCCATTAAAGGTATGACAAAAACAAATGCTTATCAGTGTTCCTTGTGTGATCCTTTGGAACTCGTACCCACATAGAGCCCGACAAAAGATAAAAGACTTGAACGTAAAAAGCCATAAGAAAGGAGGAGGGAGCCACTCTCCCACCCACTGCTTGGATGCATACGCTGCCAGAGTTGACACGAGGCGAGAGCAAAATGAGCGGTGGCGGATGCAGGCTCCGAGCCCTGCCGCCCGACTGAAAAAGTGGCAGTGGGTGGTGGCATCAGCTCGGGGTCACGGGGTGACCTTTCCATTGTGAGGCTAGCCCCCCTGGAGACAATCCCACAGCTGTCCGTGGGTGGAATGGCTTCTGCAGCGAGCGCCAGCCAACACAGCAACATTGGGAGAGGAGTAAAGTTGGCAATAATGGAGGGGAGAGGCGGGGAGATCCCCTCTTTCCATTTTGAGGGCTATGATTCACCCGCTTGTATTAAAAGCTGGTCCCGGCACATCTCATAACTTGCTTTCACACTGTACAGAGGCTGTGAATAAATATGGCCATGATAAACAGGCATTGTTCAACGAGGAGGGAAGTATAGGCAAATCAAGAGGGCGGCGGAACATAGAGCAACGTGAAGGAGCGAACTGCGCCTCGGAACTCTCTATGGACAGATCAAATTGATGAATAAAAGGTAAACAAATGTGAAGTATGTTTGAAGTGATTGCTGTTTTTTTTATTTCAGCAATGTCCAGGCTAGTTTTGCTTTACTACACATTTTTGTTTAAGTTTAGCATTTTTGTTATCCCAACTTGTGAAACTCATTTTATTGACATTGATGTTGGCATTTGCTCATTTTGAAAAAAAAAAATGATAGTATAAAACACCAGAGTGTTCGAGTTACTGAGTGCCACACTGCAGTGTCGCAAGTTACTAAGAAAGTCCGAATCACATTGAACGGTCCTTGGCACAAACAGTGCAAGCATAAGACAACAAGTCAGCAAATAAAGCCAATGCTAGGCAGAAACTGAGTCCAGCTGCACTTTTCACGTTTCTCTCCATGCGTTCCTCTCAACCACCTCGCTTCAGCTCCTTGGGTACCTGCAGTGGAGCCCTCCGGCAGGATCTATTGCAAGCTTTAGCTCCCCAGCTTGAGCTATTAATGTTAAACACCTAGGCTTAACGGTGCCAAGAAGTTTAACATACATAGACACAAGATGAACTTGAAGACTTACAGGCACCCTTAAACCTGATCCTGTCATCTCCGTGGGATTACAGTATCCAAAACTTCTCCATACAAGAGATCCTTTGGAATGCATCCATCCGGTGCAAACTCCTGTTTGATCTTGCATTGATCTGGATGTTGAGCAGGTACACTATTGGAAAATCCTATTATTCATGTTAAAACTACAGTAATAACGCCTCTCCTGGGGATATGAGTATGAATTTATATCCACTGCCAGGTAATTCCTCTTATTCTTTCAAATTCTCAATAAGAAAAAAATGTCCAACCTAGGCAAGTGCTTCCAGTCACTGTACATTCTGTGTTCGGGCATGAAACAAATCTCCATCACAAACTCTCACAGAAAGCAATGCCCCACTGGATGATGACATCACATCGTGGAAATAATTATGACGTATACCTTCTCACATACGCTGCTGTAGAGGAGTTTGTTACACGAGATCATAGTGAATTTGTTTCATTCTCAGAGATTGACTATCCGAGATTTATTTAAAGAATGAATTGAATATGAAATATTTTAGTTCAATCTGACCAACCATCAACTCGCTACACTTGGGAACCCAACTTATTCACAGGTGGCTGAAAGCTGGATTAAAACCAAGGATTTCAGCAGTGCCAGCACAATGTCCT